GACCCCCTTGTCCCATATCCTCGGGGCTGTAATTCTGACGTTTGGGGTTGGAAGGGGAAGTAATGGAGAGGGCAGTTTGATCAGCCTGCTGCCATCGGCTGAGGATGACCTCGGAAACTCACCCAGCTCCCGCTCAGTATCCGTAGCCAAGAGAGGACAAGAGCTCTGCTCTGCTCTCCTGCCTGCTCATGGGGTATCCCAGCCTGTTTCTGGTCTCCGGCCTGCTGCGGTCTGTTCTGGATCTCCAGCTAGCAGCCACATGTTCTCATCTTTCCAATCTTCAGTTCCGTACTGTCTGCCATCTTGCGTCCATCAGCGTTGAGTGCACCAGACCACGCTTTCGTATTTTGATAGAAAATTGACCCTGCTTGTTCCCGAAACCAGGTGGAGAGACTGCCTGGAGGCGCCCCGGGCTGCTGGAAAGCCCCTCTGCTCCCGGTTACTCATTGTCCCGCTTTCACATGCACACGAGGTGAACGAAAATACAATGGCTTGGGTCAAATGGCGCATAGTCCTTAAAGTGACATTTTTGCTGGTTAACACTTCAAAAAGGTCTTCTGCAGCAGAGTTTCCGAATGCAATGCATCATTTGACTTAAATGCTAAGGGCACTGGTCATGGAACCAAATCAAATAAAATCCTTAACAACTTCAATCGTTACTCTGTTTAACATGCTGTTGCTAATTGGCCCAGTTGTGAAGATTTGGTTTTAACCATATTTAAGGCTGTACTCTGATCTCCATCAGCAAGTGTTTGGAGTCCTCCTCTTTGCTTTCAACACACAAGGTTGTGTCATCTGCGTATGGCAGGTTGATACTGGGTCTTCATCCAATCCTGATGGCGTGTCCTTATTCATAAGGTCCAGCTTCTTAGAGTATTAGCTCAACATACAGAATGAATAAGTACGGTGAAAGGATAAAATCCTGATGCACACCTTTCTTAATTTTAAATCATGCAGTATACCCCTGTTCTGGTCAAATAAATAAACCATGCAGTATTCCCTTTGGCTTATATATAATTTTTGCATGAGTACAATTAAGCGTTCTGGAATTCTCATTCCTCAGTGTTATTCATAACTTATAATAATCCAAACACCTCTCCGCTTCGTCTTTCTGCTGACAAGACACATGGAGCTATGCTGATGGAGCCAGAGCCCTGGAGCTGGAGGAGCCACCTGGAGACCCACGCCAGTGCTGAGATGAGTTGCTTCCACTGCCCCTGAAGCCACAAGACACACACCCCCTCCTGTGATCTTTCTGCATTCGGTGTCATTGGAGTCTGAAGAGAAAATGTATACACTGGTATCGGACATATGGGCTAATATCAGACTTATGGACTTGAACTGGACTAGACTGTTTTCTTAACACACAATTACTCTTTTATATAAAGCTCTTTCTTATCCACACACACACAAAATAAACAAATAATCCCAACAGTCAAGTGCCTTTGCACAGGAAATAAATTGCAGGTAAACCTCCTTCTGGTATTCTCTACTTTTAGCTAATCTCCATCTGATAGCAGCAGTGACATCCTTCACCATGTCCTCTCCAGAACCCAGCCTGGAGTGCCGGCAGCTCTCTGCTGCTGCAACCGCTTTTTAGATTATCTTCAGCAATATTTTACTTGCATGCAAAATTCATGATAGCGTTCAATGATTTCTGCATTGTGTTGGATCACTTTTTAGTCTTTTCCAATTGGTAGGCCAGATAACTGTCTTCCAAGTACTTCCAACATCGCATTAGTTTGTTGAAATATCTCAGTTGGTGTTCCGTTAGTTCCTGGAGCCCTGTTTTCATCAATGTCTTCCAAGAAGCTTAGATTTCTTCCTTCAATACCACCGGTTCTTGGTTATATGCTAATTCTTAAAATGGCTGAATGTCAACTAATCCTGTTGGTAAAGACTCCATGTATTCCTCCCATCTTCTTTTGAAGCTTGACATCATTCAATTATTTTGCCACTAGAATCCTTTAAATTTTCAACTCATGACTGAAATATTTTCTTCAGTTCTGTCAGCACTATAAATGTCAACACTTTCCCTTCC